CCCTCGCTGCCGGGTCAGGCCGCCTCGGGGGGCACAGCACCCAGCGCAGGCACAGCTAGAGGGGCCACGGACGGAAAGAGGATGGGGAACGGCGGGAGAAGCAGTTCCTGTCCCCAGGTTTGGAAAACACGAGCATCGCCTTCTCTTTCCCCGGACTGCCAATCATTCCTCCCCGCAACACTGCAGGCCTAGGAGAAACCGTGTGTGGGTGAGCTCCTTAACACTTGGCCACCGCCATAAGCTGCAAGGAGCATTCTGTAGTGGGCAATAATCGTATTGGATCCCCATTTTGTTCTCTGGACAATATCTGCCTAAATATTCCCCAGTGCACAAACACTCTGGGGTCTGAGGCAGGGCTGGAGGGAGGTCCTGTCCCAGGGACGTGGCGCTATGGGTAAAATAAAAGAAGGAGACTGTGGAAAACAGTGCTTCTCTCCGCTCAAAATTTTAGTCCTTTTTTCATCTGAAAGCCAAAATCACCTTTAAAGTGCTGGTCCTTTCACCGTCAACGCTTAAGGAAATATTGCCTTTAAACATTTCTTTAAGAGGCAATACATAATTTTTAGGTTCCCTAGCGCGTTGCGAATATTCCTCTGGGCCCGCTTATTCCGCTTGAAACCCGAAAAAAGCCTGATTCAGGGACAAGAGCTAAAAGTCCTGGGTTGAGCAGCCGGCCTCAAACCGGCTAGCTAGCACCTAGCATTGCAAATGTGAATTAAAATACACTCTTCGCTCAAATGCTTCCCACAGGGGAATTTTCTATTTAACTGCCTGCAAAGAGCAGAAAAAAAATTATAGCCGATTTATTCTACATTTCTCATTATTTTAAGTTGTCTAATTTCAGAGTCTTTGATTTTTTTCTCCCATTTACAAGTCCTGATGCATTCATTTGCTGTCAAAAGCGTTGAGTCAACAAAAGCATCCATAGGCAACTTCTGTTTATTTACAGTCCTAAGCTGATCTGTTTTCCATTTAATGGAAATTAAATAGCGAGGCACTTTTAGGTTGCATTTTTCCTACAGACTTGTGAATCAATAGCACCAGTGCTATAATTAGGAGGAATTTAAGAGACAGCATTTACAAGAACAAGAAGTTTTGTTTACACGCTTACAGTGGTAGCCAAACTTAAATTAAAATAAAACCAATGAGTCAAGCTGGATTAAGGGTTCATTTTCATTTGCAAAATAAGTTTTACGGAGACTGACAAGAAAGAAAGAAAAAAGAAAGAAGGAAAGAAAGAAAGAAGGGTGCCCCGCTTTTATCATGGCAAAGCAGTGGGGGAAAAAAAAAAAAAAAAGACACCGAGAGACACGCAAATAAATCCAAGCATAAATGCACAGGAAACACACGACCAGGAGGCCAGGTCGCCATGTGGTGTAAACATGGGAATGGAGACGGTGGGGAAAAAAGATTCTCGGTCTCTTAAATGTTTTTTCCCTTTTTCTCCAAGAGCCAAAGAGCTCTGAGGTATGCGTGTGCGTGTGCTGGTCCCGCCGCGCATGCAGAGCAGCACGAACAATTGGAGCGGAGCCGCTGGCTCTGCCGAAACACACTCTGAACCGCACCGCCTGCCTCGGCCCTTCGCCGGGGGAACCGCGCCAGAGCTCGGCCAGCAGCAGATCCCGGCAAGCCGAAAGCCAAACTGGAGCCCACCGACCCGGGGCCCTGGGGTTTCCCGTCCCCCGCGACAGCTGCCGCTGCGGGGATGGAGGCCGGGAAAGCCGGGCGCTGCCCCCGCCGCAGCCGATGCGCCCCGCGCACATCCGCACACACACGCGCGGACGGAGCTACCCGCGCCTGCCCTGTCCGCACCCCGGGAGCCTGTGGGGAGCTGGGGCACTGGTCGAGGCACGTCAGGCAACTTTGAGCCTCGCCTGTCCTCGTCGCATCCCTGCAGCTGCCGAGAGGAGACATACTCGCCCGGCGGGGGGACCGATTTCTCCCGGTGGC